AAATAAAGGAAATCGTAATCTGAACCCATCTGTGCTCCCATTTCTCTATCACGAAGTATGCAAGTTTTGGTGTATTTCTGATGTTCATGTCTGTTTCTGTTCAGTATGACATGAAGCTACTAGCAGTGGATATTCCAATGGCATCTGGTCCTGATCAACGCTTATTCCTTATTGGTGATGAAGAAGAGTACAGAGTCGGTGGTGGTTTGATCTCCGAGTTGAGAGATCCTGTGGTGAAGGCAATGGCAGCAACCAAAGAGTTTGATAATCTCGACAGAATCGAAGAGGAAGAAGATGCCGAAAGAGAACTTGAAGAAGCCGAAATGAAGCAACGAGAACTTGAAGAAGTGGAAAGGAAGGAACGAGAACTTGAAGAAGCGGAAAGGAAGGAACGTGAAGAAATTGAGAAGCTCGAAAAAGAGAGTTCTTAGTCGGGTCTTTGATACTCGCACACATCTTCAGTGGATATAGAACATCACCGTGAATCCGTTCAAAACACCTAACTTTCGAACTTTTGCAGGATAAATTTCAGAGTACAATGTAGTTGCTGGTTTTCGTTTCTACTTTCTACAGAGAAGCCTCTTTTTGATCCTATGTAAACCGGTATTGGATTGAGGGAGGAGGATAAAGCTTTTGTCTTTTCGGTTAGTATCGGTTTAAGCATTAAAGAAACCAATACAGAATCCAAAGAGTCAAGGCTGTATGAGACTATGTTGTCTTTGACCGATTTCGATCTTACAAAATTAGCAATCAGTTATTATGGTTCATCAAAAACCACCCTGCATCGTGAAGAAGATATAGTTTTCCATCGAAGAATTAAAAATACGTCCTCATTGCTTTTATCGAATGTTCTTGAGAAAATCCTCCTTATCTGGATTCTTCTTGTTTGATTCCCTTTCTGAATCTTCCACAGAAAATTGTGATCTTGAATCTCTTGCCTCTAGGGTTTGAAACTATTCTGAATGCAAGAACCCAAATCATCTGAATTTGGAAGGATTTAGAGGTTAATTCTTTCCCAAATTTCTTTATTTTTTCTATACCTAAGGGCACAAATTTACCTCTTTTATGAAAATAGGGTCACTAATTAGAATTGCTTCTCTTTCAAGATTGTTGTGAAGATTTTAAACAAATTAGGGTTTTGATTTGTAGTTTTTGATCTCCAGGTGGTGAATGTTAAGCAGCCAATGAGAAGCAAAACGGGATTTGATTGTGTAAAGATTTGATGGGAAATCTTTGTGCAAGAACTCCTTGTTGTAGAAAGGTAATACACAAAAACTTTTCTACTTTTTCTTTTCCTGATAAAGCTTTTTGAGCCTCGAATAGGCGTAACAGCTTGATCTTGTAGCGATTCGATGTTTCAGTAGCCATAGCTTCAGTAATAAAATGAAGAATCTATATATGTTAAAAGATTAGATATGTGTTTACAGTTATGGTCGACATGTATATGCTGCTGCAGCAACAACAAGACTCAAACCCGAAGCCAACACGGGTCGAAAGGAAATGTCCATCAGGTAACCAGAATAGAGAAATGGGAAGAAAAGATCACAGAAGCTAACAATAATGGCAAGATTGTAAGCTTTCTTCTTCAAAAAGTTTCCGCTTTTTCTTCGATTTTTTCCAATCTGAGTAACTAGCTTGATTGAATTCAATCAAAACAGCTCGTGGTGAATTTCAGCGCACCATGGTGTGTACCTTGTAAAAAGATAGAACCAGTATTCAAAGAGCTTGCTTCTAGATACCCTTCAATGATATTTGTAACAGTTGATGTCGAAGAGCTCGCTGTAAGTATACACTTATAAAACTTGTGTTTTTTAGAAGATAAGATTCGGTTTAAGGATTAGAGATTGAAAGTGGTGAAAAAAAATATAAACAGGAGTTTAGTAATGAATGGAATGTGGAAGCTACACCAACTGTGGTTTTCCTTAAAGATGGGAGACAAATGGATAAACTTGTTGGTGCTGAAACATCAGAGCTTCAGAAGAAAACAGCTGCAGCTGCAGATCTAATTCTCAGAAATACATAAACAGAGTTAGGGTTTCCATTGAAATTTGTTCAGTGAAATGATTTCCAGAAGTTACTTGTGGATCAAGTAAGCATCAAGGACAATTTTTGTTTTTGTTACTTAGGGTTTCATTTGATTTGGAAAGA